CTAATTTAAATCGGTGACGTCGACGCGGTCACAGTTTAAGTTTAATTAACGTGATCGAGATTAATTGCGTTCCCCTGCATTTTACACTGCCTCTTATACGGGCTTTGTCGTCCGCATACGGAAAGTAAATAAACAAATAACTATCTAAATCCTCAGATAAAGAAGCTAAAAAAGGTTTTATAGCTACAATCAAGCAAAACATGCACAAGTCTGCTGATTCACCGAAATCGCTGAAAATCCATTTAAGCCGCAACATTGTCGCATTTTCACATTTGAAAGGGGACAGAACTTCTGACTGGACTTTTTACGTTGGTCTAAATAACTCAAACGACATGTGATTATGGATTTAGCCAATGTAGAAAGTTAGTTCGACCTAATACCCCGAAGAAAAAAAAACAAATTTTCTAGATCTTTTCGAAGATCATTACTAAACGCTTTGTTCAGCAAGAAAACGAAGTCGGCTTCCAATAGCTGTCGAATTCTAAGTGTTGTAAGATCCCAACAATAAAGTGGAAAGCTAGAGAAATGTCGCGGAGATAACAAATGGGGAAACTGTCCGCCAGAAGGAGGGGCTACCAAATGATCAAATTTAAAAGAGATAAAACCACTAAGCTGTACTCTAGCCTATAATATATTGAAATCCTTAATCGTGTCCTTTCTAATGTCAACCCCTAGCATTTCTGTTTTTTCTAACATGATAAAAATCATACCTATTTGATAATTACATTTCGTATATCTGGAGAAGCTTCTTATGTAATGGCGTATTAAAAACGTCAACGCGAAATTGAAAGCAATAACCAATCAGTTCCGCTTGCAAACCCACGTACTATTAGGCATAGAAGCTTTGAAAAGAATTAGTTTCTAACATCAATGCAGATTTACACTGCGTGGTGTGCGAACTCGCCTCATTGATCTTGACTCCTTTAAATTCAAGAAGGACCTGTGGGTTCTAGTCCATATTTCACATTTCCTTCAGCATCTTTTAATTTTTATCATACTCTTCGACTTACTAGTTCCTTCCTTAGTGATAACATAAGGTTCCATTTTCTAAATTCTCTTCAGTTTCATTTTGATTTGCATTTTGTATTTTATTTTCTGGTAATCATGAATTTTTCCTTAATCTTCTGTTTTCTACCGCTTCTTGTTTCTTTGATTGTATCTTCTCTTCATTACTTTCTTTCGAATTAATTTCTTCTATTTTAACTTGAAGATATTTTTTCATAATTTCAATCTTGCGCCATTTTCTATTGTTTTTTTCCTTATACATGACACAAATTGATTCGTGAAAAACTAGTCCTCTTAAGGGCTACAGACAATATACCACGCACATGCGATCTATTGATTGATTGAAATTAATTAAATTTAAAAAAAGAAAAGGAAATTTTAATTACGTAAATAGTGATAATCCTAACATCCGGTCATAACTGCGATTTCCTTTAACAGAGGCACTAAACTTCATTTCTTTACTTTTAATTGATTGAGGATTTATATAAATTCGCTTTGTTGTAATTTCAGATGTTATCGTGGATCTTTGGTGGTTTATCGGGTACTTGGAAAAACCTTAAAGATGACCCAATTTATGCGATTACATGGATGGCAGACACAGGTTCTCCACAGACTCGGTCCCCACAGTTTCTTCCTGACCGGGCATTCCTACAAATTTGAACTAACATGGTAATCGGAGTGCCGAGCCAAACAACACGGAAGCTGGACTCTGCCCTGTGGTTTCTTGTACTGCAGAACGGTTTGCCGCACCCAAATTTTGACAAGTACCTCCTCATTGTCCTATTCACATGTTCTATCAGTCAAACTGTAGGTATAAAGCAGTGGTTTAGCTCCTGTGAGTGTCCAATAGTTGATTTAGGGCGTCCCTGGTCAGTGTTGATAAATCTAAAATCTGACTTTTTTAGGCACTAACACAATTTTGTACTTAAATGGGAGAAGCTTCTAAACTGAAAATTCATGAAAATAAAATTTCACCCGTTAACACTAATAACTTCCCCACACACAATCTTATTAGGTTTTATTTTACAACTCCACTGCGGTAGTCGACGGAGAGGTGCGGTATCTTTGACGGTCAGTTTTGGATACGTGCAAATGGCGGCGGTCGCTGGCGACTATTTAAAACAAAATTACACACCCACGGGACGATAGCAGTTTCCCAAATCGGAACGGAAGCAAAAATTAACTAACGGTACCTATCTACTAGTTACGGGAAAAAGAAACAAGGAAAACAAATCCCCCTTTATACTTAACTGAATGAAGATATCAAGCGTTTATCTTGAAATTAAAAGGTACGTTCAAAATGCAAATATTCAAACCAAAATAACACGAAGCCAACACGGAAAATGATCCCCTCAAATCGTGCTGACACCTTATAGAAACTTCCCAAATTACGGAAAGGGAACGTCAGAAATTTCAGCTGGCCGGCGTGCTCAGGTGATAACGTCCAACAGGTGAAACTTCTTTATTTAATTTCTTGACTTCTAGTCATCATAATTTCAATTCATTTGAGACTAGACACAATCTAATCCGACGAGGTTGCTACTCAGGGTCGTACTGAAATTTTCAAATTCAGCAGCCCATTGAAACATGGAATTTCGGGTCAACCACAAAAGTTATGCAATAATTAAATAAACTGCACGATATTGAGGATTTCATGCTCGTTTTTGTTTAACATTGGGAAACTAAAATCAGTTATTAATGATTGAAAAGGGAACTGAAATCATAGAATATTAATTTTCTCTCACCTTCCATAGGACGAGAGCTTTCTAAGTCTGGAAGAATAATTTATTAAAATATCTCTGCGATAACAATATTATAAAACTGAGCAATTAGGTATGGCATCACGGTTTCCTTATCGGCGGTTAAAACGGCTCTACAAATTGAAACATTACTTTTATCTCATATTTTTCACTACTATCAAAGAAATTCGGAGCACCTGTTTGTGTTCGTGCAGGTACGGTATTTCTGATACAATTCCTGGACGAAAACGGGTGTTTCGTTATATTATATATAGCAGACGTTTTGTTTGACTTCAGCACCTACACTAATATTGGGTCACCCTATGTGTGGATTCCATTTAGTTTTCAAACATGAAATGGACGCTAATTCATAATGAATGAAAAATTATATTTTGTTTATTTGAAATTGTAAAGAAATAAAATGATTAAGTTTATTTATTTGTCGTGTTACCTCCGGTTATTGCGATAAGAGCATTATCGCTGCGAGTGGTCATTAGTTTAAAGATAAGCACATGTTATCGCAGATGTTTTTCGCCCATAAGAACGCAGGTGTTTAAGTGAAAAGGAAATTGTTTTAAATAGAAGAGACAGACGTTAATCGTTGGTTGTTTGGCGGTGGACGTCGTTTTGTTTTTTTGACAGATGCCGAAACCTGGCGGTTTATTGTTTTGGTGATTGGCAGATTTGCCATTATTTAAGCGTATTATTGAAAAGACAGTCGGTCTTTATAATCGTAAAGTTCTTGTTATAGAAAAAGTTAGTTGAATGCTATAAGTATTAAGAGATTTAAGTCGTCGTTATACGAGTACTGTCTCATAAATAAGTTGCGCTAATTTTTTTAAATTCGTGTGGGAGGCAGGAACAATCTGAGAGCCACGGGGAATTAGCGTCTAGGCTAGATGACGATAGCAGAAAGCGACAGGGCTGTCGCGTGTATTGTTGTCCTTCAATGAATGGATGGCACCAACAAGAAATCATTTGCCTTGACAGAATGTTTTATTGTTCGCAATCTACGTTGGTAGTCTCCATACTTGCTCCAACTTGACAGATCACTCGATCGACTGACACGCATCGGAATGTTACAGTGCTACCACTACACCCAGATGCCGTCCACACGGATTTAAAAAATAGTGCAACTTGTTTATCAAACAATCCTCGTAAAAGTGAGTGTTTTAAGGCGAATCAAAGAAGTGAAGCTTACGAAGAAGTAATTTATTCTCAGTACCCGTTAAAGGGGGTTTTTCCATCATCAAAGAGCCATCACCATGGCAACAAACATGGCAACAGTACAATACTCACCTAAATAGAGTTCAAATGACAATTAATGGGTGGAGAGCACCACTATCACTTCCTAGAAAAGACATGACCGTTCTACATCGGTTAAGAATAGGACATACAGCAATAACACACAAGCATTTATTAACAAAAGACCCATCCCCAGTGTGTGCCAACTGTACAGTACCTACCACTGTTGAACATATTATATGTATATGTCCATTATATGCACCTTTACGTCAAATGTACTCGATATTTGATAACTTACCTGATAATATAAGAAACAAAGAAAACATAAATAATCTTCTACAGTACCTAAAGGCTGCGAATCTCCTTGAGAAACTGTAATAATGAACTCTAGATGGCGCCAAAGACCTCAGCAGTTAACGCGCCGTAATTCATATTAAAAAAAAAAGAGCCAAGTTTTACATCAGTAATTACAACGCACCCAGGTGTCGTCTAAATCGAGTTTCAAGTGGTATAATTAATGTTAAGGAGTAAAGTTTCGAAGAATTTTCATCGGGTGTTTGGTGGTAGTGCATCTGTTTGAAAATCGCACTATGACGGGAGATTATGGATTATTAACACTTTAAGATAATTGAGAGTTCTTTTTCTATCGATCGCTTGTTGCGTGGTATTTGATTTTCTGTCCCGGAGCGCCTATGTTTCTATCAGCTTATTTGATTGATTTATGACGAATAAGTTTGTTTCATCGATGAATGGTTAGTTTTGTGTTTAATCGAGCCCAAATTACGACCTAGATTAGAGTATTCCGTTAAATTTTGTCTATTTCGTATCCAGAATTACATCAGATGTTGATTAAAAATTTGATTTTCGTAGTAGCGGACGTTGGACGTGCCGTAGAAAAATTATAATTATTTCATTTGCAAGATTTTGTTAGTGCATGTGTAATTACACCATGATCAGAGCAACAAAAACGATATGAAACAAAAAATAGATGTCATTGTGACATTTTTCGAAATGGATGATGTAACTGCCAACATCTACAGAACCATGAAATGGTCTGGTGATGAACGCACGTTCCGAAACAGAATGAAAAGTAAACCTTTGGACGAAAGATCTTTTACAATGGCCATGAAACTGAAATTTCGTGGAAGCGTCTTCGGCTCATACTTGGAATCTTTCAATTTCCAGCAGCAGCAATCACGGGAGCTGAATGTGAATAAGCTAGGCATAACATTATGGGATGTAAGAAATTTTGACGTATTCGAACAGCAAATATATCGTTCCAAGAATAATTTAACAGACGATCTCTTGCCGTTATTGCTCAAGGCAGTCAAAGAGAAAGAATGCATTGATTGGGATTATTTATATGACAACATTGCCACTTTGCGAATGGCCGACTTTCAGGTACCTACATCCAACTTAAAAATCCACTCTTCGGCAGTTTTTGTCGTTTAGATTACCTGGCTTGATGCAGATCTCCTCAATTTTAGACGGCTCAGAGTGTTAATTATAGTTGGCAATTGGCTTTCGCAAATTAACGCCGAATTCCTACCGCGAACTCTGCAATATCTGGAATGTTTCGCGAACGTCATCGTGGATCTTACAAGTCTTAATAAGAAACCCCCACAAAAGCTGTACCACTTGGGAATCGGTCGCAATATGTTGACAAACGGTAAGTCTTGCAGGTGAAAGGTGCCTTAATGCAACTGGGTAATAAAATTTCACTAGTCGAGGCATAAAAATGTAATATCGAATAAAAAAGTTCCCCTATATTGTATGGTAAAAATTAGAGTGTGGATGTGCTGTCTTATTTGTACATCAGCGCTCGTAACACGAACAGGGTTTTCGTTTCAAAATAGCAATGATTCATCTCTTCGTCATTAGTCATCATTTCTCAATTAGGAAAATTAGTTAACGTTGCTGCCCGCCATTACACACATTTGTAATTTCGTCCGTCATATACGTATGGTAATAAGCAGCGGTCGCTAACTGAAATGACCACTCGTTATAAATATTAACCATAAAATGCAACTAACGTTCGTATTTCATTGTAGCTCAAAACGCATAGTTATACGCCGAAGAAAGGTGGCCATATCCCACGTCCGTAAACGACCGCGCAATTAACGGTCATTATCCTTGTACAAAGCTATAGGAAAAACTTTAAATTAGACCAGTATGAGACGTCATTTAATAGTAGCTATAATTTTTACGATTGGCGTAGTTGACAGCAACGCGCCCTCGGGATTACAATAAACAAAAGATGGAAGTTTATAATACACTTTTTACGAGTCCATTGTAATTAATATTTCATTGCACTATACTTAGGTAGTCCTCCAACGGCATTAAATTATCATTCACTCATACGTTACGAACTGACCAGAAATAACCCAGCGTTTCCTTTCCCCGGGGAAGGGAGATAGTGGATGCGGAAATTTCTCATTAACAGATCAATTTAAAAAAAATTATAATATGTGTTTCGGCTAGTTGTCAATCAGTAATCCTCTTCGGGCCTCTTAAGGAAGACGGTAAAGGGGAAAGCTGCACTTTGTAAGGACCGGCTTCAGAATCCTAGTTTAGAGGACCACCGTCGAGCCCTTCATCACCGACTACACCGAAGTGAAAGGCTTGCCTTCACGTCACCCGACGGAACTTCCTACCAATTCAGAGTGATGCCCTTTGGTCTGAAGAACGCACCCTCAACATTTCAAAAGCTGATGACACGAGAAGTTGTTCCAAGATATGTACATAAATTAGCAATGGGACCTGGGAAGAACATCTCACCACCTCCATCTAGTGCTAGAGCGATTGCAGCACCACAGGCCACGTCTATCTGTGGAGAAATGCCGCTTTGGAGTACAATCTATTCAGTACGTTGGTCACACGCAGAACTAAACGACACACAGGACAATTATCACGTGAATGAAGGGGAGTTCCTTGCTCTCGTCTGGACGATTAAACGATACCAACCATATCTCGAGGACAGGAAGTTCTCTCACAAAACGGACAGTCGAGTGCTGCTTTGGTTAAACTGAACCAAGGACCACAAGAGTAAATTTATCAGACGGGCCCTGAGACTTCAAGAAGTCTCCTTCCACATGATACATTGTCCCGGTAAGGAGAACGAACCCCACGGACCACGCCGTGCAAGAAAACGCCGATGAGGGGACATCGGTCGCTTCCTACCCCGGTCAACCGTACCAGCAGGCAGGGCCACCATTCCTCCCCAACATCGAAGTGGCAAAACTAGCCGATCGCGTGAAGCAAATTCAGAAAAACAATCCACACGCAGGCAACATGATAACCACGAGGAAGGCGGGCCAAAGACCGGTTCCTCCGGAACTATACTTCCCACGATGGATACTTCTACCGCAAATCCAACCACGGAGATCTTCTGGTAGTAGTCGTCGACATGAAAGAAGCAGACCCGCACGCGTACCACGACTCGCCAACAGTAGGCCACCCAGGACGGAGAAACTACCACCTACTACCACTGGCCCAAAAAAGAGGAAGACATTAGAAACTGGGTGCGGAACTCCCCTGGCCGGGAGAATGGCATGCGACTCAACCCACGGCAGTTCCCATAGGTCAAGGGGACGAACGCGAGGAATGAATCCGGACAGTCCACGGCAACCAGGGTGCAGTTCCAAGCAGGGAACGAAGTAATAGAGAGATCCCGAGACCTGGCAACGGAAGAATTCCGGTGAATATGGAAGGGGCCATATCGAATAATCACCAACGCAGGCACAAACGCATACTTCATCCAGCGAGACAGAGAACAGGTGAAGGTCCACATCCATGACCTGCGACCAGCACTCAATCGCAGAGAGGCCGCACGGAAACCGCCACCGCCATATCGAGGAGCAACAGACTCGCCACTAAGACCCTCCATCTCGCTCACACCTCCACGCCACAAGAGAACATCCAACCACTACTACATTCCGCAACAAATCCGGTCAACCCAGGACCACGGTCAACACGGTGCAGCCAGCCATGTCCAGCCGAATCCTTCGAAGCGTTGTTCTTTACTGACCGCATATAGTGTAGGTAATGTTTGGTCTTTACATCGCCACCTTATTCTACCTGGTAACAGCTGATTGTTTCTTCGATGTGGAATTGAATTTGACTGTCCAACTGCGTTCTACACGGACCGGTTATAGAATTCTCCGGGTGTTACCACACTCAATCCAGCTCTACCTTCGACGCCTACCACAAGGATTGCGACACCAGATATATTATTGGCCGAACTTCCGCAATAAAGGATCGGCAGGGTATAATAATGCGAAAACTCAAACACCAAGAAGACACTGGAGTTGGGCAAGTCATCCACTACTCTTCTACAAGTGTCTTGAGACTTGTGCAAACACCTACTTGTGTATATGTATTGAACTTTTAGGTTTTGTTATTAATAAACACTTTGTTAATTGTTCCGTAACACCGATTGACAAGAAGAGGTTTCGACACCCCCATTGGCTGCAGTACTAGACGCCACTGGGTCGACCCCATTATTACTGTATACAGGGTGGTGCCTAGCGCAACGCAGCATAGGGATTTCAATGGTAATTTCTTTATAGTCAATTACTAGCTCCCCTAATTATTTTAGAGCAAAAGTCTAAATAAGTTTTTTTTATAGAAAAAAATACTGCATCTGTTCATACTATTGCTTATAATTTTCCATTTTTCAAAACCGTAGAAATCGAGAAAATAAAAAATTACATTTTCATAAATCAGTGATGCTTTGGAATCTTTCAACAAACTAGAAGCGCATCGCATCTAAGTTATCGTTGTTTGACGTCGAACGATTTTCATATTTAATTCTGTTTTAACTAACCCATGCAATAAAAGGCATCTTAGGGACCCTAAGTTAGGGTAATGTTTTTTTAGAGAATGTGTGCTGCATCTGCATCAGATGCTATTTGTTTATCATTTTCCGAACCAAAGTACCTACATAATCGAAGAAAAAAAACTGATTTGAAGAAGATTTGTTCTTAAACTTATGTTCGGATTTTCCGCTACTGCAGTCAAAACGTTGAATGTATTGTCGTTTTCCTGATGGTTTTGAGGGACATTTTGAACGTTATTGCACTTGCAGTTCTTTAACTAATTTATAAACAAGTATAAATTTAATATACGTCAAAGGCAAATAATGAAACGTGATCGCTGTTTTTTTAGGTAATTCCAAGGCATATTTGATTTATTGTAAAATGAACCTTTTTATTTTGTCGATTTCTACGGTTTTGGAAAACGGAAAATTATAATTAATGGTATGAACAGATGCAGTATTTTTTTCTTTAAAAGAAACATATTTAGACTTTTGCTCTAAAATAATTAGGGGAGCTAGTATTTGACTACAAAGAAATTACCATTGAAATCCCTATGCTGCGTCGCGCTAGGCACCACCCGGTATAATTTCAAAATAATATTAATAGTGTGTACATATGTACTCATGTACGCTGAATTAATATACCTGGTTGTATTGGTGTTGAATCGTTGCTACTTTCCCACTATTTACACTCATATTTATATATGTTGTGCCTGTAACATCTGAACCAATAAACTCTTTATTTTACAACAATGTTTAACCCTTAACTACTATCGCGGGGTCAATATAGACCCAGACGAAGAAGAAGTACTGCGTAATTTCGTACTCGCGCTGGTGTCGTGTACGTCTCTCCTACTATTCTCCTACAAGTTGCCGTTGATCAGTGTGAGTTAGGGGTTGTCTTGTTTTGTTTGCTTATATTCGTGATAAGTGCCCGCTGGGGGCAAAAGTGACCCCAGATAGTAGCTGAATTTTTCTAAATTTATCCTTTATTTTTTGTAATGTTACAATTTCAATCTTTTGATTTGTGTTGTAGATTAGTTTAGACACTTACAGAACTAGAACAAATAAAAAAAGAATCCTCAATAATGAACATCTGCTCATTTATGATTTTTGAAGCATATCAATTTATTATAATTAACTTGAAGCGTTAAACTGAAATTTTTAACTTTTGTTTTGTCAAATAACGAAACAAATAAGTGTTTTTCTACAATCGATATCCAAAGTAGGCATTTGCGCTCGTATTTGACAACGCAAACGTCATCTTTTTCGAGGAATGTCACTTTGTCGCTTATAAGCGACAAAATAGAAAAAACGCTCGCTCTCCCAATTATTAACTATAAATCAAATATGCATTGCTCAGAGTATCCAATGACAACGAGTAAATGACATCTTTCATTTGGGCATAAGATTAAAATGATTTGAGTGAAAAATTTAAATTTCTGGAAATATGTGAACTGATCGATTGTAGAAAAAATCTTGTGTGTAATTCGAGCGCAAATTGATTGTCGATTTCAAGAGATTGCCGCGCTCCTTCGTCGCGCGTCAACTGTCTCTTTCAATCGACAATATATCATTTTGCGCTCTTAATACACAAATAGCTATATCGTATTACAGGCAAGCTATTAATGCCTACTATTCATCTTTTTTTAATATGTGTTACAATAGAACCATGTATACTTACTTTAAAATATGTGGGTCGTAAATGACCCCACCATAGTGGTTGAGTTACTGAGAAAAGTCGATAGTAGTTCAGGGTTTTAAATACCTACTTCGTGTTATTATAAGCCTTTTGTCATTCAACATTCGGTTACGATAGAAACACACATTTAACTCTTTCCTTGCAGCATAAATATTAATTTATCTCTTTACATCTAAAATAAAATTACATTTTTAACCGCGCTTGCTACTTTATATTGC